CCCTCGGGGTTCCCTGCCACGCCTCCTCGACCTCCTCGAAGACTACGGACGGGTATCGGGCTATAAAATTAATCTAGATAAGTCAATGGCCATGCCACTGGAAATGGAGACAGCAGAGATCAATGCCATAAAAGCTAACCACTCCCTCAACTTTATAAGAACTGACATCAAATACTTAGGGATTAAACTAACGGCAGACCCGGAGAGACTGTATGAAGCAAATTACACACCCACATTACAAAAACTACGACAGGACTTAGAGAAATGGCAAGACAAGCCAATCTCATGGATAGGGAGACTACACGCGATAAAAATGACACTGCTACCTCGCCTGCTGTTCCTATTCCAAGCCCTGCCGATCAAAGTCACTAAACGGGACCTAACGACGCTGCAAAGACACATAGATAACTTTATATGGGCACAGAAACGACATAGAGTAGCTAGGCAAGTGTTATACCGACCGAAATCAAAGGGAGGACTAGGACTCCCAAACCTGTATCAATACTACTTGGCGGCTCAATTAGCCCAAATAGTGGCTTGGCACGCACCAGAGGGCTCACATCGATGGGTCGACCTGGAAACGAAATTGATGAGTACCGATCTCCCACAATTCTGGATATGGGTACCCAGACAAGACAGACCGGCCCTGCGGACCACCTGCCCAGCAATCCTAAATTCCATTCGAATATGGGACAATACAGCTACCAAATATGCACTTAAACACACACCTTCACCACTAACCCCGTATCTGAGGAATAAAGCGTTTGAACCCGGGCTGAGCGCACGCGACTTTAGGGGCATAGAGAGTACGGGGATGCAGAGATATGGCCATATGTATGAAGGAGACTCCTTCAGAACGTTCGATAGCCTGAAAACCTTAGCGCCCCTGACCACAAAAGATGTATTTCGACATATCCAACTACGAGACTTTGCCAAATCCCCAGAAGTCAGAAAAGCTGCCCACACCCCAATGACGTTTTATGAACAACTATGCAATGCCGAAACCGTACAAAAAGGCTTAATAACCACTATATACGCACAACTCAGCGCCCCAAGTAAAGACACTAGAGCCCCACGTTATATTGACCAATGGGAGGCGGACCTGGGGGCGACACTGGAAGGAGAGGACTGGGTGGACATCTGGGAGGCGACAGCTAAAACCTCAGTCTGTGTATTGCACCAAGAACAGTCATATAAAATGCTCATGAGATGGTACACAACACCAGTGCAGCTACACAGAATGGGGAAAACCACGACTGACACTTGTTGGAAGGGCTGTGGTGGTAAAGGCACCTTTGTGCACATGTGGTGGGAATGCCCAGAACTAAACAAATACTGGAAGCGCATACAGACACTACTAACTGACGTGCTAAAGCACAGTATAGATCTAGACCCATGGACGGTTCTACTGTCCAAACCCATAGACGGCCTCCCTAGAAAAGAACAACAGCTCTACAATAAAATCACTCTAGCGGCCAGAAGGGCTCTAGCCCAGGCGTGGCTTAAACCCACATTACCTACAGACGACGACGTGATAGCTAAAGTTAAAGACACACACTTGATGGACAAACTCACAGCCCAAATTAGGAACACGGAGAAAACATTTCATAAAATATGGCAACCTTGGGAAGACTTTCTCGACGACTAAACCCTACAGAAGCAGGATAAGGACAGAGGCCTCGGAAAGGCCTAGATCCGCCGCACGCCCCAGCGAACAGCGCTCCCCTTCCCTCCCCCCCGTCCCACCTTTAGACAGGGGAATAAGGGGAAGAGGCACCAGGCAGAGCCCACACAAATCCCAAACCAACCAGTTACACCGCACCTACAAACTAGTATTACGGTTACAAAGCACAGCACAATGACCACTGACAAAGCACGACCCGTCACTAGGGGCCCTCCATGCAGCCACCCACAGCCACAAGAAACGATGACAAGGCACCGCCATCCGCGCCCACAATAGACCCCGACTTGGGATGGCTCATAGGACGGACCGATATTGAGTATAACCAACGGACGCAACTCCAAACCGACAGCACAACCACCATGACACGACGCAGACGGTCACATGACATAGCTCAGAGCACCTAACCGACAACACAACAATCAGTACCGCCGCACGCAGAACAGCGGAAAAAAGACTTAATATACTCAATGTGAGTCGGTTTGAAAGCGCTGTGAAACCCTTAGTAAATACCCAGAGATTATTGTATCCAGCCTTCTTATGTGGCACCGTTGTGCTCCTCGTTTTCTTTTTTCTTTGTTTTTTTTTTGTGTTGTTTGTACTTTTTGTATTTTCTATACGGGCAAACACTGCCCCCCAAAAACCGACACAGAGCGGCAAAAACCAATGTCTCCTAACTGATTAAACACTTAACCACTGTTGAAAGCTAAGTAACACTGTTTTGTGATCGGCCCCTGCGTGAGCCACTGTATTTTGCTATGCTGCATTCTGTGTCGAATCAAAAATAAAGAATTAAAAAAAAAAAAATCGAATGAATAAAAAGGAAAACCATGATCAATTTTGTTAGTCATACATATAGGTCTGCTCACATATAAAATAGTAATATTTCTTTTGTGTGTTTATATATATATATATATATATATATATATATATATAATTTTTTTCCCAAATCAATAAATGTGCAAATGACATATTTTACCAATCTAGAATCAATCACACATGATAAAAGGGCACATGGGAAATTCTCTCCCTTTTCCCAAGATTGGGAATATACTGAATTTATTATAAATTCTGATTTACAGGGTTTCTTTGCACTATCTTACTCTAAACATGATACATAATACTATCAGTGCTTAGCTGGCTTATTTAAATTTCATTCACATTTATTTTATTTTATTTGCATGTATAACAATTACATACTGCAAACAAGAGTGGGGTAGAAGCAGAGACAGGGAATAAAGTCAAAACTGCATAAAAACTGTGTCTCTATTTCTGTAAATTGTTAATGTAACTAGAGGCACTTTAAACATGTTTCACATTACAGAAAAAGCAAAGTATCAACAAATCACGTGGCCAACGTGTGATTTTTCAACAGAAACAGGTACTGCTAACATCTACAACTAATAGGCAAGGCAGGGGGCAATCAGGGTTCAAAATGGGCCTGTAAAAGGCAACTTTATCTGGCCAATTTTTAATATATCATTATTACAAGAACCAATACTATTTTTAGAATCCTATCTGCCATATTTTAATATGTGGGTTAAACTACACATGTTTATCTTTCATTGGTCTTTGCATATTTTGCAAAGACCCTCAAAGGTTAAATCCCCGCTTGAGGTGCGGAGGCTTGGTATTAAAGTGCAAGGTAAGTATACGAACCTGAAGCCGGTGTCTCGTGAGACCACAATAGCCATCAAAGACCAAATCTAGTGATCTGCGAGAAGCAGTCTGGTTTAAAACTTTGATAAAACATAGTGGCAAAAACGTAATCTTTGGTCAAGTTTCGTTAACCTCGGTCTTTACAATAGGACAGTCCCTAGTTTGTTTTATGATCTCTTTTATACTCTTATAGGTATTCCAAAAACATTCTATCTGTATTGAATACTCAAAATGGTGAAATAAGAGCTGCTTTAAATATATTGAGCATTGTTCTAGCAATACAGGTTCCCTTTAAATTGAACTCTAGTATAATTTTTTTTATATATAAATGTGCTGGCGGTGTATTCAATGTTTTCTTTCCTTTTTCTATCTTAGAATGAGTGCATAACTTGTTGTGATTATAGACTACAGATCTTTATTCATGATCCAGAATTATTTCGTAATGCTAACATATTCTTATTACTTTTCTAGTTCTTGCTCAGCACTGGGGGTATCTTTAATCTGTACCATGTTAAGATGATGTAATTGTCAACATGTAAATAAATATATCGCCATGGAGATTCTTTGTGATAGGCCATCAAGATGGTAATATTTCTAGCTCCTTAAAGGAAAACTATAATAATTTTTGCATTATTATTTACAATTAAAGCTTCTATTGTAGGGGACTGGCCCCCCTTAAATAGGATAGCAACTCACCATTATCCCAGTGCTAGCCTCACACCTGATCCGCCTCCTTGGCTGAATCATTGGAATTGGCAATATCAGCCAATCCAATGCATTCCCATAGGAAAGCATTCAATTGACTGAGATTGTCAATTCTGATGATCTCAGACAAGGAGGCAGGGTGGGGGCGGAGCCAAATACCACGCAGGCCAATCAGCATCTACTCATAGAGATGCATCTCTATGGGGAAAGTTCAGCATCTCCATGCATAGCGTGAAGACGTTGAACGTCAGTGCTGCATGTTGTGCAGCACTGACCTTGGAAACACCTTTAATGGCCGTCTCAGTGACTGCCACTAGAGGTGTCCCTAAGCAGAAATGTAAACATCTGAAAAGGCAATGTTTAGTACATGAAAAATGGACTGGCAATTCATTACCACACATGATGTTTTTAACTGAGATGTAAGTGATTAAAACAATTTTTATGCACTTTATGGAATTTGCACTTCATTCTTTGCACTTTCTTTTTCTAACATCTATGGTCCAATATATCTGAGGATACCGAGGCTACATAGCAACAGGAGAATCAATTGACACCATAAACTTTATATTGAAGGCTTGACTTTGTCATACAAAGTATGAGTGTCCAATTATTTCAAACATTGATTGTTAAATAACACATTTAAGCACTACGTTGTGCCTTTCTCCTTTCTTTTCCTAGCAGAACCACCCCTATTGTGTTTTTTGTATAGTACATGAAAATGCCCGCAGGCACAGAATATAGACGCCAAAACAACTACATTAAGCTGTAATTACTCTGATGACTATAGTGTCCCTCTAAACTAAAATGTTTACTTATATGTATTCATTTTAAAATAATACATAAAGAGATTTTAATACACACAAGCATTTATTTTAAACAATAATAATAATAATGATAAAAATGATCACTGTAAAATCAAAAGTTTACTGTAGTATAAAACACTTAAAAGAAAATTATGAAGGGGCGGGGCTGGACCACCGAGCTGGCTGGTCACATGCGAGACCAGCTCCTGCAGCCTAAGAACGACATAAGCTATATATATATATACGATTTTTGGTACAAAACCGTCTGGCAACGGTGGGCCTCAACGGGCGGAGAGCCCTGGATCCAGGGTGAGGCTGGCCCAACAGGCCAACAGGCTTCAGTCCCCTGGAGGAGGAATCCTACCTGACATTATCGAGGCCTACTCCTGAGGCGAGCTTGGCAGACGGCTGCTGCCCCGCCGCATACCGTTCAGCGCTCAGAGTCAGACCCGCGGGAACCGGCCCCATATTCCTCCCCTCCCCCCCTGGACCGGGGGAGGTGATCCTGGTCTCCACCTTCGGGACCCGACCAGCGAACAGCACAACAGGCGAAGCAGCAGGGCCGGCAAAACCCACGATCCAGGCAATGACACCAAGATGATGGAGGCCATGTGGGATGGCGTCGAGACCAGAGCCCTCACAGGCTGCTTATCCACAGCGGCAGTACAAAGAGTGGACTGTAAACATCACAGGTACAGATCCTTACTGCAACCATCCACCGGCAAGTACCCTTGAACCCTACCTGATACAATACATCAGCAGCTGCAGGGGACATCTCTCATTCATCTAAAGAGGGAATTTGTACAACTGAAACTGTCTTACCTTTAACCACCTTTCCCTCATGAACTCTGTACCACCAACGCATGAAATCTGCTGCCTGGTGATATACTCCATCAATAAGCTTGCCTATGCACCACACTGTAAACATGAGCACCCAGCTTGTTAACCTAACCAGCCTGTCTCTAGATAACTGTCATTTATTGGAATCATAAAAGCATGGTTGACTAACTAATTTGACAAATGCAGGATTTGAACACGCACACTTAATTTATCTCGTTAATGCAACTTAACTAGAGACTGACACAATAATTGACACGTGACCTAACAGTCTATTTACTGTAGGATATGACTGGTTAGACAGCCTGTTATTGCTCGGAATATATATTCCACACTTGAGCACAGTTAAGTGCCACTATACCTAGGGCCCGAGGCTAAAGTGACGACACTCACTACACTTACTAACCTTATGCTACTGTTACCAAACGATAGAAGAATTAATTATGGCTAACCAGCATGTACCCAGCTTGATTTTGTTATTATCACTATATAAAAATATGTGCGTACCTTCTAGATGCTACATAACAGTTTATTATTATAATTATAATTGCCATTTATAGAGCGCCAACAGATTCCGTAGCGCTTTACAATATTATGAGAGGGGGATGTAACTATAAATAGGACAATTACAAGTAAACTTTCAGGAACAATAGGTTGAAGAGGACCCTGCTCAAACGAGCTTACAGTCTATAGGAGGTGGGGTATACACTATTGTATGTTCACATTGTCTAAGTATGCTGTTGTGGCATTACTGTCATTCGACTGTTACACATGCACAACAAAAATAAAGAATTCTAAAAAAAAATTTTTTTTTAAATTATGAAAATGGATTCCAACATAAATAATTATAACATTTTGCATACAGTACTAAGATGCATCCATAAATAAATTAAATAAATGAGCAGTAATAACTTTAGCTTGGAATAAATGTTCTTCATAAGTTCCTATAAACCACAAAGATTTTTCCAAAGCCCATATTCTGTTGCTGGTCATGCATTGGCATTATAACACAACACCTTCTGTACTCATGGAGAAACACAAAATTGTGTGGATGACATCTATTTTGGGATGTGTATAAATTATATAGCTATAAACCTATTTAGGTATGAGTACACAGGCGCAGAAAAAAAGGTTACTTATTTGGACGTACTTTTGGCAGGACTTAGGCAATGTGTACACTGCAAAATAATAATTAAAGAATTGCTTTCTAAAATGTTTTGGCACACAAATAAAATAAAATGTGGCTTTGCATAAATTTCTTCTATCATCACACATTGGCCACAGGTATTAAAGGATTATTGTAGGAGATACAGGAACTGAAAGCCCATGGCAAAATATTGAAAGCATTGAGTTCCAGTAAAGTAGCCAGTGAAAGGGCCACATCGAATTAATATATGTCTACCAAGTAATGAATGCAATGCTGCGTTTGCATCTTGGTCTAAGATGTGGTTTCAGCTGATATCTATATTTACAGTATGACACATTATAAAAACAAACATATTTTGACATTTATGTGGCTATTTAAGAGATGAAAGCAAAACATGTACTGTAAATGGCCTTTAATGTGGTTACATTTAGTTGAAAGTGTAGTGCTAGCTCCTTTTAGCCCACTTAATTTCTTTAGACCACTTCATTAAAACAATATTGGATATTTCACAGGTGTTCGGGTGATTCTAGTTACTGAGAAAACTACCAGATTTTCCATTTAGTAAAAATAACTTATTAAAATACATTTACTCCAGACCTATACTGCTTCAATAAAAATCACTTATAGAAGGGGACATACTGCTTGTGCCACCGGCTTTACATAAAAATACCATAACCACTTGCAATATAAGGCAAGTAATCCCAATATGCAACTGAAGGGATGCACACTTAGACTAAAATATTTAAATAGATAAATAAAATAAGAGACATCCACTTATACGTGCAGTTACAAATAAAGAATGTACAATTCTATTTAAAGCTGACAGTAGTAAAAAAAATATACATCTGTTGTAAAGGGATTGCGAGGCAACTTTGTGAACTACGTTTCTGGAATATGACTCTGATCAACCTCAACCAGTGGATGACTGAACATATATATGAACATTTACTCCACATTAGATGTATAAAAAAAGAAACTATTTTAATGGACGTATTGAAAACAGTACTTGAACTAATTCGTTCATTCATTAAGCTGCTAATTACAGCTATATGTAACCCATTCTATGTTAAATGTCAAAAACTAAGCCATTAAAAAAGTGCCTGTAGGCATGAAAAGTGTCTTGTCTGATACTACTTTAATAGCTCATAGCTGTTTTCTTTTTTACTAATAAACTGTCACATACTTTGTAAGGATTACTGGCTCATGTTGTTCTTCTGGTGTAGAAACATTATCTAAACTGGGGATTACTCACTGTCTGCTAATTTCTATGGAGTGAACTGGAAAACTGTGACTAACCCCCATGACAAAGAGTCAGTGCCACTAACTACTTCTCCATTTTCTCCATTGACTTCACTTTTATTATGACTTAATCTTTAGAGAAATGGCCTTTAAAATTCCTTTTCTGAGACTATACCCATTGCCCTTGACCACGTATATAAATATACACAGACACACACAAACACAATTTTTAAAAAATATTTTTAAAGTATACATATATATATATTACACACACAAAACACAGAAGTGTTGTCCCATTGTCCCTACAGAACTTTTATGAATTCCACTCTAGGTAGAACGATTCCGTTTGTGTGGACCCTGTACTTATCTGATCTATAGTTGGAAAATTAATTCCACCAGTACAGGCAAATCAGGTGAAGTGGAAGACAGCAGGATTCAAAGTAGATTTGGTCACAATGAGAAAAGTCAGTCAATACATGAAAAAGTCAAATCATGTTATAAGATGTACAAGAGCCTAAGGCCAGGTTGACATAAAATTAGGTAACAGGTGCTAAAGGATATGCAAATTGAGTATATATACAGCTTGACACTATTCTGACCACTTTTGATGAAGAATTTAGGGATAAAAATGCATAATCTACCGATGTGCTCAAATAGTGCGTAGATACTCTATATCCCATATATATTCCATGCTCACAAACAAGCAAACACGCACAAGTATGCTTTAACAAACATTACCATACCTACATTTTTACTGAATATAGAAAGAGAGTCAATATGTTGGTCAACAAAATGTGATTATAATAAGTTATACCAAAATCGTACCTCTCTATCCCACATATCCTCATTAAAACCTTCTCATCTCCCTGTCTAATAATAAAAACAAAAAAATCACTCACAGTGCAATTTTTACTGTGACAAATACCCATCCTTAGTAGCTCAGTGCGGGTCTGTTACTGTTATCTTCCAATGGAATTCCCTAACAGTTGTACACTTAGGGATGTCCCTAACACTTGTGCACTTCCCATAATGCCCCACACATATGTATTTTCTTCTTAGTGTGCCTTGTATGTGCATTATCATGAATTTGCCAAAGCATAGAATTGTGAGATAGTAATTTATATACTATATTAGAGTGTGCCTTCATATATGTTATATATGACATAAATAACAAAAAAAATATGCTGTACTGGAATAAAAATATACAGCAACAGCTATAGACAACTTATTTGTTGGATATTGTTTTACACAAAAATGTTGGTCATATATCTATCTTTATGCCTCTATGGTATGTATAAAGATGTCACATTGGGCCTTATACATGATGAAGAAAAATGGGGTTCATTTGGGACTTCTTATTTTCTCAATGGGGGATTTTTTGCTTTTGCGTTTGTGACTTTTCCCGCAATACAGATAGCACCAAAATGCATTATGTTGGAGGAACTCATTTCAATGACCTGATGTAGAAAAAAACAAGTTTCAATTTGCTACAGCTGCCAAGGAGGGATATACAGGGAGTGCAGAATTATTAGGCAAGTTGTATTTTTGAGGATTAATTTTATTATTGAACAACAACCATGTTCTCAATGAACCCAAAAAACTCATTAATATCAAAGCTGAATATTTTGGAAGTAGTTTTTAGTTTGTTTTTAGTTATAGCTATGTTAGGGGGATATCTGTGTGTGCAGGTGACTATTACTGTGCATAATTATTAGGCAACTTAACAAAAACAAATATATACCCATTTCAATTATTTATTATTACCAGTGAAACCAATATAACATCTCAACATTCACAAATATACATTTCTGACATTCAAAAACAAAATAAAAACAAATCAGTGACCAATATAGCCACCTTTCTTTGCAAGGACACTCAAAAAGCCTGCCATCCATGGATTCTGTCAGTGTTTTGATCTGTTCACCATCAACATTGCGTGCAGCAGCAACCACAGCCTCCCAGACACTGTTCAGAGAGGTGTACTGTTTTCCCTCCTTGTAAATCTCACATTTGATGATGCACCACAGGTTCTCAATGGGGTTCAGATCAGGTGAACAAGGAGGCCATGTCATTAGATTTTCTTCTTTTATACCCTTTCTTGCCACGCTGTGGAGTACTTGGACGCGTGTGATGGAGCATTGTCCTGCATGAAAATCATGTTTTTCTTGAAGGATGCAGACTTCTTCCTGTACCACTGCTTGAAGAAGGTGTCTTCCAGGAACTGGCAGTAGGACTGGGAGCTGAGCTTGACTCCATCCTCAACCCGAAAAGGCCCCACAAGCTCATCTTTGATGATACCAGCCCAAACCAGTACTCCACTTCCACCTTGCTGGCGTCTGAGTCGGACTGGAGCTCTCTGCCCTTTACCAATCCAGCCACGGGCCCATCCATCTGGCCCATCAAGACTCACTCTCATTTCATCAGTCCATAAAACCTTAGAAAAATCAGTCTTGAGATATTTCTTGGCTCAGTCTTGACGTTTCAGCTTGTGTGTC